TGAAAAAAAGACAAATGAATATGAAGAATGAAAATAACAACATCATTATCATAAATGACAATATTGACCCTGGCCAGGTTTTTTTTACGTATTAAAATATTCTAGCACTTTCATCAATAAAACATATCAGATATTATTCCACCCAATTAACCATTATGTTAATAATAATAATAATAATAATAATATGATGCACCAAATCTTATAATTAAAAAATCCTCATTATACAAACAGTTCAGTATATTACGTCTCCAATGTAGCAAAAAATTTTGTTAATATCAAAAAAGTTTCTTCATAAAATTGTAGTTTGTTGAACTCCATTGTAATTCTGGCTCCAATATGGCACTCAGTGGCGACAGTTGCCATGATGAACAGACAGCTGAAAGACCAGTCAAAACATAATGAAGATATCTAATAATACCAAACACAAACCATGTAGAACTAATATACATCATAGGACCACACACAGAAGGGAATTACTTCACTCCTCTCATTTTCCATGAAATTTTAAATCAAAATATTGAAAATCTGCTTTTGTGAATTCATCAAAAAAATCCTTTTTGAAGTATGGTTGTCATCCCAATATTGTTGTTACTTTTTTTTTTAGCTATGTAATCACAAATCTACCTTGGAAATCCTCCACCAACGATCCGTGTAATATTTAAAATTTCAATACAAAGGTTAGCATATGTTGGTTTTAACATTGTAACTGATAACAAGCTCGTTCAACCAGAAGGTTGTCATTGGGCATCTCTTTCACACTGAAAGAACAACTCTTCACATGTATTGATAACATTAGAGGGATCTTTTGACCATCAAACAAGAGAGAGGCCTTGTCCCACAATGACCTTCTAAGAAAGGTGAAATACAGGTAATGCATTGTCATAACTGATCTCAATTTAACTTCAACAAAGATCAGAGACCATTGACAATAACAACTTGCCTACATATCTTGCTTAACCAAATTAGAATTCATGACATATCTTTTATGATCTATATAAAAAATATTTTCTGACAGGCATGATGAATTTCACAAAAGCAGTCTCGTGAGGTGTATACTGAGTTAGATGAAATGTATTTCGGGATGGAATGAACTAATTGAAATGTGAATACCAGTATCAACTTTTCAATATTTTCTCCATTACTTCTCTGTTCAGTGCCAGTCTATCTTACATAATTATAGATTTGGCCACCGTTGAAAAATGAAGGAGGAAATTATGAGTTGGCCAATTCACTTCTTGAACAACAGTATGTATTAGAGATATATCTCCGAGTCCCTAGCTCTCTCTTTCTGTGTGTTTGGTAATAACAACCACATGACAACCATCCTAAGCCTTATCTACAAGTGTCCGCTATTTTACAAAAAAAAAAAAAAAAAAAATTTGCAGAAAAAATGTGCAGTTTCCATTGATAACATAGATATACATTGGGCACCGATATCACAAACCACAAGTAGGCTGGCGGTAGTGAGCTAACACTATACTTACACACAAGGGTAGGGGTACAGAGCATAGAAGTAATTCATATAATAATCATTGACCATAGTACAAAGAAGAAGACAAAGAAGAAAAAGGTTAAATTCTTGATAATAATTCCTGCCTAGTACATTCCACTGTCTAAACACGAATTCCATTGAATTAAACTCTGAATGAACGTGAAGCAGGCTTGTAACGTCCCAGCTTAGAGCTTTGTTTTTTGCCATTATTTCTAGTGCACAAAATATACAATTATTGCACTCTACTCCTTAGGATATCGTGAAGCCCTTAGATTTAGACTGCCGGGAAACAGTGTTAAAAGGTCGCAGAGAATCTTCTCCCATAACCCACAATTCGTACTTGATGATACATGCTAAAACACTATAGAACAACCACCACACCACTTGACCAACGGTCAAGCGACGACGTTCAGATCCGTAGCTCTGAAGGATCAGGTGTCCATCATTCATGCTTTTCTTGGAGTCGTACCATTAGATAGTACTATCCAAGTTGAGCAGACTTGTCCAAGACATTCTGTGGTAGTTGTTCATCACTATCTCTGCTTTTTGACAGGATACCTGATGCCAAATCTAAAACCTGTGTTAATTAGTTGTACAAATGGAGGGTTTGTCAATAAGTAAGAATTCTGCTTGGCAAAAATCTTGAATAGGCACTGATAGAAAAGAAGCGCCTGCAGAATGCGCACTTTTTCCTAGGACGCTGCATCTTGCTGCTTGCTGCTGCTGTTGCTGCCTCTGGTGTAGTTTTAACACATCGTCATCATAACGAATAGACCCTCTGAGCATACTTCAAAAGTCTTCGTGCATATTATTCTTTAATAATAGTTTTAAACACTTCCATTTCTAATTATTTTACAAAAAAAAAGTCAAACTCAAAAACATGATAGTAATATACACTGGCCTCTTCTCTCTTGTAGGGAGAAAAGACTAGAATGATAACTCCTTAACAGTTGTAGTTCTATCTCCGACATGTGAAATCACAATTGAGCTGATGTATTTCTGCCTCCGGTTTTCTGAAAGCCCTTGGCATAAAGGATAGCATTATTCAGTATGGTAACAATATGGCACCTCTACCAGACATTTTCCTATACATTCTACACCTAATAGTATCATGATCTTGATAATAAAGTTTCAAGAAACAGATTCATACTGTTTACACAACAGTAGCACACAAAATACACAAATTAACAACCAAAAAGGCCCTTTCTTTACATACAAGGACAAAAGTTCAGAATATATAGTTCATGGACTTAACAAAAAGGTATAGTATTATGACAACTATTGACTTTTTTGTGTGTATTGTATCAATGTCAAGCTTCCAACTTTTATAGTCAATTTGACTTCCAACTGAAATCTGAAATAAAGAATTGATTATTTCTTTGAAATTCTCCACAAATTATTCACAATCTTTAAACTGAAATGTTGGAAACTCAATTTTCATTGCCATTTAAATTTGCTTCTATGAAGCTAACAAACTTCGTAATCTCAAAATATATGCTTTTAAAGCCATGTCCGTCGTGCTTCTATACAAGAAAAATAAACCATTTACAGATATCGATACTGATAAACATGCATGAGAATAGACAAGCACCTGTAGTAGAATGAAAACTTTATGGGATAGTCGCCCTTAAGAGCTGTCACCACTGTGTAATATTTCCTAATTACTACTCTGAGGGAGAAAATTGATAATAAAAATTTACACCAATGTAATGTATGAAACAGCAATGGTTAGACAGTACTCATGCACTTACAATCAACATGCTTCAAACTACGTAACATCATATTCTTCACAATTACATATTTAAAAGAATTGGATTACCTGGATGAATATTTATGCCATTTTTTAAAAAATGGCAGAAAAGCAGAAAAAAAAAAAAAAAAAAATGAAATAAAAATTTAATGTGAAGAGATGAATGCATTCAATTCTTAACTTAACTGAAAAAATATGGCAACTCTGAAAAACATTTATTGCAATATCTTGAATTAAAAGCAGACTTGAAGGTAGCACATTCAAACAAAATGATATAGAAAGCGGCCATAATATAATGATAAAAATTTATAGAGAGTTGTACTTGTAATATGATAACAATAATCACTGTATACAAGAGAGATGATTTAGGGGAGGGAAAAACTAATAAATACCTGATATCAAACTCTTTGCATCATATTTTCTATATTCAGATAACAACAATCAATTCTTTAAGAAAAATGTAACAAATTTCCATCCCTGATGCGTTAACGAAACACCCTGTGGATACACAATCTGAGAAAAGGTAACAATTCAATACTAACTACAACTTGTGATTACCAAAGTATTGTACAAACATGTCTGGCCCCGAACCTGCTATCAAAAACCACTCAGTTTATACCCAAGATTCCCCTCATTTTAACATTGATTGTATTACCTGCTTGGTTTTTTGACATTAAAAAATAAATGTTAACAGAAATAAAAATTTCATCTTGAAACTATTTTTTTTCCACTTTTGTCAGCTGTGAAATTGCCTGAATCAGCACATATAAAAAAAAATCATTCTTTGAAAAAAAAAAAAAAAAAAATCAATTCAAGTTCTAATTTAGGTAGAAGTTAACAAAATATGTAAAGTCCTTTTTTTTTTTTTTTTTTTTGAGAACTTGGGATAAACTAATTGATTTATGTTAAAAGTTCATTGCCAGATATCATATAAAAAGCAACAAGCAATTCCTGTTCTGGCCTAGGCTGTGATATTCAATAAGTTTTATGCTAATAAATAACTATAGTATACAAAATCAGTGCAGATTGTAAAATCAAAATGTTTTAAAAATCCAGCGTTAAAAATTAATTACTCAAACTATAAATCTCTACATCAAATTCAAATTTTCCAAAAAGAGGTATTTTCTCTAAAACAAATTTTTGCTTGCAAAAGTGTATTTTATTTACACTTCACATTTAACAACGAAAAAAGAAAACAAACAGGAAATTCTCACGTGAAAAATAAAGAATTTTCTTTTAAGATTGAATGTCCAACAGGTTTTAAATGACAATTTAAAATCAACTCTGTGCAAAAAAGTTTACAAATGGCGTGTATATAATACACTAGTAATTGTTAGCTTTGGCCAACAACAGGGTGAACGCATGACAAAATGGTTTGACCATTTCACATGCACCATGAGAAATGATGAAAGTCAATATTCAAAATACATTATTCATAAACAGATCCACCGGTCATAAAAAGTAGCATACGTCCAAATGTTAGTGTCTTTCCACTGAACAAGAACAATAGGATGATTAAGACTAAGCAACTCCCGCTACGAGTATTGTGCTATTAAAAAACAGGGGGAAAACCTCAAGGTGCATGAGTTGCACCGTGCTTATGTGTCAACAAATCATTTAAAGACCCACAAATTGATTCTATAATAATTACAATATATAATATGCCATACAACAGAATCTTAAAAAGACAGTCCATATAATTACATATTTAAAAAAAATTCACTGACAGAATTTGCCATTGAGCAATAGATTTTTCAGTCAAAGATTGGGTGTGCTAGAGCTATTCTTGTCTAGACTTGTGTCCTGTAGAATTCCAGGCGCACAGTTCATGGGAACGTTAGCACTACTTTTGTCCATACTGGATTCCTGCAGAATACCGGGTTGACAATTCAGGGTTGGTGTGGTAGCATTACTTGATGTAGAATCCGAGTCGGTTTCCCGGATAAGTCCGGGTGTTCTGTTTTCCACACATTTCCTCATGTGTTTCTCCAGTGTACTAGGAACTGAGAACGGCATCAAGCAGAATTTACATTTGTAGACATCCTTTCCTATACGCCCATGTGTTTTCATATGCCTTGTAAGCTTGCTAGATTGAGCACAAGCATAATTACACAGAATACATTTGTACGGCTTTTCACCTGTATGAGACCTGCGATGAACAGTGAGATTGCTGCAGTTCTTGAAGATCTTGCCACAAAACTCACAGGTATCATTTCTGATTCTATCCTTCCTCATGTGAGCTGCATCTCCTGAGACAGGAGTGCTGGGCCCAGGTTTCGGTGGGGTCTGTGCATTGAATGATTTCAAGGCACTCTCCGGGGTTGAAGGACTGTATCCATTATGGTTTGAACCTACACCGTCAAACTGCATCCCCGAAAGAGAAAGATGATAGAAATCTTGAGGGGGTGGGGCTGGAAACCCCATGGAGCCCCACAGGGAGTAGATGTGATGGTTTTCCATGTTATTAGTAGGGAAAGATCCCGTATCCACAGGTTCATTCTTGATCTTCTTGTAGCATTGTGTCTCAGAATCTGAATCAGAAGAAGACTTCTTATGATTATCCTCCTTCATCCCATCTTGGCTGCTGTTGCTGCTGTTGTTGCTGCAGTTCTCTGATGTCTGCTCTTCTTGTCCACCCACAGGGGAGGTAACCCGCTCTGCCATGGCTTGTTTGAAAGCTTCGTTGTATTCTGGGTAATTTGTCAGACCTGTATTTTTCATGACCTCAGACAGGAGACTGGTTCTGTCTGTGTAAGGACTAGCACGCTCTGGTTCCTTGTGCTGGTCCTGGCGATCTGGACTGGATGCAGGCTCTAATAGCCTTGCTGCTAGCTCACTGGACTTTGGAGAAGAATTGACCTCCAACTTCTTCGGTGGATTAAACCCCTCTTTGAAGCTATTTTTGTAGGCTTCCTCATCCATTCCAAGAGCCATCTCTTCATCTTCTTCCATCTCCTCTTCCATTTCTTCCTCTTCTTCCTCATCTTCTTCCTCATCATCATCTATAAAACGCTTACTCGAATCCGGGGTGCTGCTGCCTGAGGCTAGACTTCCGTCATTGGACATATTTGATGCATTCGACATTGACAATGGAGATTTGTTCATGTGTGTCTTCATGTGTCGTTTGAGCTTGCTCTGTTGCGTACATGCATGTGGACAAAGAGGGCATTTGAATGGCTTCTCGCCAGTATGAGACCTTCTGTGTACTATCAAATTGCTCTGAAAGCGAAATGATTTGCCACAGAATTCACAGGACTTGAGCTTCGCTGGAGGGGTGATACTGCCAGATCCGTGCTGTGGCTTCTCTATATCAGAGGAAAGGGAGCTCGGAGGAGTCACAGGTGGAAAGGTGGTCGGTGACGGACCTGGCTGGGAAAAAGGAGGAGTCTGCTTTCTAACTGGTGATGGCGATCCTGAAGTTGATGATGCTAGCTGCCTAAGCCGTTGTGAGTAAAATGATTCTTCGATTCCTACAGGTGATTGCCTTGGCCGTTCAAACAGATTCGGAAATGGTGGTGAAGGTCCACCATCAAACATAGGTGGGAAGCCCACAAATGATCTCGGTAAAGAGGGCTCACTCACAATAGGGAAATCCATCCCAAGACCAGGGGGCCGGAATGGCAACCCTGGGGACAATGGTGGTGGTCGATCAAATGGAAATTTGAACAAGAAGGGAGAAGAATGTGGTGACGGATGAGGTGGCAGTAGATGATGGCCACCATCTTGCAGTAGATGGTTGCCACTGTCCGCACTTCCTGCGGAGCTAGCCGAGGGAGGTGTTCGATGTGGGTCGAGGGGCTGACACAAGAGAGGGGTGTCACGTTGCTCGTCTCGTTGTTTTGGTTGATGCTGAGGTGCTTGCTGTTGCTGGGGAGGATTCGATAGCTGATGACTCCTGTGGTTACTAGGACTTGAATTATGCTTTTCATGATGTCGGTGCTCACGATTTTCACGATGCTCACGGTCATGCTGAACATGGTCACGCTGATCTCGTTCATCACGCTCCTTTTTATGATCCGGGTATTTCTGCTGCTTATCCAGGGAAGTTGTGTAGATGCGCATGCCATGTTCTTTCTGAGCATGTTGTAGAAGTGACCATGCTGAACCAAATGTAGACTTGCAGGAATCACACACAAACTTGGATGGTTCTGAAAGTACACAAAAACCAAAGGACTGTTAGATATTGAGCTATCATGGACTATCTCTGCATCATAAACAAACTAGCCAATCCATTAATCTGTTCACACTCTCACTTCTACTTACTGTTTCTTCTGTGTAATTGTCCAGGAATGACCTTTCCTTGCAGCCCTGAGCCATTACTTGCTTACCTTGCATTCACGATCATCAGTATGTTCCCAACACTGAAAACCTTGAGACACTCAGAAAAAAATTCCATAATTTAATGAGGTTTGCACCAAAGACAAGTTTGTGCAGATCAACATCATTGATTTTTGCTGGCCGGAGATGGTTTCATACTGGTAATTGCAATTATTGGAGCTCCCAGAGGAAGATTAATTCATACATACATGATCAGTGTAAAACTGGTGGACAATTCCATATCACAGAATAGGTAAGGTAGGATAAATGTATTTACTTCTTAAAACCCTGGACAAACAGCTTCACACCCTCCACATACAACTTAATATCCTGGACGTCCAGTGTAAAACCTGGACATATAGCTTAAATCTATGGACATCCAGTTTAATGCTATGGACATGGACATACAACTTAACACTATGGACATACAACTTAACACTATGGACATACAACTTAACACCAGGGGCATACGATTTAACACAAGGGACATACAGTTTAATTTAAAAACAGTGAGTGGGTTAATAAAAGACCAATATACCAATTCTAAATGCAATACTGGAAAGAACAATGTTCATTATAATTTTCTTACTAAAAATAGACTTGTAAGTTTGTACCGTACATGTTTAAACAAACCCACTTTTAAATCCGACTAGGATCTTAGTTAAATAGATCTCAAGAGTCATAACACAAGGGGAATGTTTAGTGTGGGTTGGGCGGTGCACCACTGCTCTTTAAGGTGCACCTGTTCTAGCTAGTCCTTGAAATATCATATGGCCTAGCACAAAGACCAGGGTCAACTCATCATAAATCCCTCTAGGACCCAGTGTGGTTACCATGTGTAGCCAGGGACTTCCATTGATATCAAACCTCATTATTCAACTTGTACTTTATATACCCAACAAACACGTCAATAATTACCCTATTATATCAGTAGCCAGGCTGACCAAGTTCTCTCTGTGAACCTTTTTTTACACACTGCATCGAAATGTCAGACAATGAGTGGAAAATGAGTCAGTTGACACTGCATGCAGATAGAGTTTATATATTTGGGCCAGGTTTTGTTTATGTGTTGTATGAGACAGTGATAGTAGGGACAACAACCACAGTTACAGACCAAAGAGAAAAGTAGAGTAGGAATAATTAACAACATAGGTTACAGTGATTTACAGACAGGCAGACTAGGAACAGTAACCTGGGATACAGTAATTTAGTGACAGTAACCCAGGCTACAGTAACTTTGGGACAGTAGATTTGGGACTGACACCCAGGTTACAGTAATTTAAGGACAGTAACCTGGGTTATAGTAATTTAAGGACAGTAACCTGGGTTACAGTAATTTAAGGACTGTAACCCAGGCTACAGTAAACTAGGGAAAACCTAGGCTATATCAACTTCGGGCTAACAACCCAGCCTACCGTAACACATGAGAATATGTAAAACCTTTTCTGTAGTAAATTATTAGATGGTACAGTAACTATGGGCTGGGGATATACCAATTGTAAACCTGAGATCAAGCCTGCATATCCAGGATGACCTTGTATGGTGCAGGGTTGTAGAAATTCAATACTTCTTGTTTGTTCTATGGCAGGACTGGGCAAATACTGGCCCTGGGTATAGTGTTATGTCAGTCCGTGACAGCCCACATGCTTTTTAAATATTTTAGACAATATGCATTTATGTCCTGAATCAATATGGGTCTGGCTTTTTTTTACCTGTATAGATTATTATAGTGGTAGTATATATGTGTCTGAGTGCTGACCAGACAATGGGGAGGGGGGTCGCCATGGGGGCCAACTCCTACATACAGGTACAGTTACTTAAACCTTTTACACCTGTAAACCTGTGGTAAAGACCTTATAATAAAAGCACAACTTATTAACACATTTTCTATCGTCAACAAGCTATAAGTAACATTTATACTCCTATGATTAATCGCTACAGGCAAAGTCTACGAAACATTTATACTTTTAGTACCTGTGTATTGTACTGTATTATATTGAAGTAGTGTTGATGGGATCTCGTTAACACTTAACTTCTCTGTCACGCCCCTTGTGTCCCTAGACTGGAGCGTGACCACAATCGAGACAAACTTTAATGCTTTCTCCACTCTGTGCTATATATATATTTTACATATTGTTTGAATTTAAAATAACTGTCAGAGGCGACTATTGACTGATGATTCAATGATCGATGTGTCTGCATGTAAAAGCTAGACAGTTGTGGTGACAACCATCGCGACATTCTACGACCTAGTCGACCTTCACATAGATGGACACGGGTCGTCTGTTTCCTCACACCATCGCCCACACATACACACATGCACATATACCCATACAAAGTTAGCTTCCATCCTAGGATATCCCACAACATTTCTAGCACAGTGGAGTTGTCTTGCTTGTATGCTACTCAGAATTTATACAACCCAACTTAATATCCTTTTTGATACCGCCAATCTACTGCTACAGATAGTTTTAACAAATGAGATAAATAAATAAACCTGTTTAATCAGATGGAGGACAGATAATTTTGACAGTTTTGTTAAGTTATTCCATGGCCAGCAACGTTTTAATATTTCATGTGTTCTGCCTTCGTGACCTCGACACTAATTATGTATAATTTACATGATGTTAGGTAAATGTTTCATTAGCCACCGTTTAGGTTGTGTCCTTCACAGTATGTTTCCTAATTAATACGTTAATGTATACTAGTTTCTACAGACAGGACAAAACAAGAGATGGAGTCCTCCTTCAGGACCTCAAACTGATCAGAACAGTGTACCTGAGGACTACACCAGTAAGTAACCAACATCAAACATCGGGAAAATTCAACCATGACGCCTCATTAGCACAACAAAAATCACAAACAGTAGATATATTTGTTTTCTTGCATTCATGTAATCATACCTGACCACTAAACAATTTCCCTGCCTGGTGTTAAAATAAAACACATGTAGATAAAATTGTGTGTATGATGTTGTTTATCTGGGGAGATGTAGACACCACTCAGTGTGAGGGAGAGCACCTGCTACTCACAGTGGACAAAAGTTTCTGTCTACAGACATAAAGGCAGCTGTTCCCAGCGTCAGCCTTCTACTACTGACAAGAGACAAAACCTGTACAATCCGACATGAGAGAAATGAAACCTTAAAATCTGAAAACCTGAACTACTGACTGAAAATAAAACCTGTACAATCTGACAACCTGTACAATCTGACATCATGTACAATCTGACAACCTGTACAATCTGACAACCTGTACCAATGACTGGAGACAAATCCTGTACAATCTGACAACCTGTACCAATGACTGGAGACAAATCTTGCACAATCTGACAACCTGTACAATCTGACAACCTGTACAATCTGACAACCTGTACCAATGACTGGAGACAAATCTTGTACAATCTGACAACCTGTACCAATGACTGGAGACAGATCCTGTACAATCTGACAACCTGTACCAATGACTGGAGACAAATCCTGTACAATCTGACAACCTGTACCAATGACTGGAGACAAATCCTGTACAATCTGACAACCTGTACCAATGACTGGAGACAGATCCTGTACAATCTGACAACCTGTACCAATGACTGGAGACAAATCCTGTACAATCTGACATCATGTACAATCTGACAACCTGTACCAATGACTGGAGACAAATCCTTTACAATCTGACAACCTGTACCAATGACTGGAGACAAACAATCCTGTACAATCTGACAACCTGTACCAATGACTGGAGACAAATCCTGTACAATCTGACAACCTGTACCAATGACTGGAGACAAATCCTGTACAATCTGACAACCTGTACCAATGACTGGAGACAAATCCTGTACAATCTGACAACCTGTACCAATGACTGGAGACAAATCCTGTACAATCTGACATCATGTACAATCTGACAACCTGTACCAATGACTGGAGACAAATCATTTACAATCTGACAACCTGTACCAATGACTGGAGACAAATCCTGTACAATCTGACAACCTGTACCAATGACTGGAGACAAATCCTGTACAATCTGACAACCTGTACCAATGACTGGAGACAAATCCTGTACAATCTGACATCCTGTACAATCTGACAACCTGTACCAATGACTGGAGACAAATCCTGTACAATCTGACATCATGTACAATCTGGAGACAAATCCTGTACAATCTGACATCATGTACAATCTGACAACCTGTACCAATGACTGGAGACAAATCCTGTACAATCTGACATCATGTATAATCTGACAACCTGTACCAATGACTGGAGACAAATCCTGTACAATCTGACAACCTGTACCAATGACTGGAGACAAAACCTGTACAATCTGACATCATGTACAATCTGACAACCTGTACCAATGACTGGAAACAAATCCTGTACAATCTGACAACCTGTACCAATGACTGGAGACAAATCCTGTACAATCTGACATCATGTACAATCTGACAATCTGACATCATGTACAATCTGACAACCTGTACCAATGACTGGAGACAAATCATCATGTACAATCTGACAACCTGTACCAATGACTGGAGACAAATCCTGTACAATCTGACAACCTGTACCAATGACTGGAGACAAATCCTGTACAATCTGACATCATGTACAATCTGACAACCTGTATCATTTATAGGGACATACTAGACAAACATTATCCGTCTGAGCATATATTGCAGACAACAGCTTTATCATTGACCCATATCTAACATCTGATAATACCAGAATTCTGATCAGAATATTCAATATCCATCCACCCTATTTCCAGTGGTATAATTGATAACCTAGCGGTATTGTTGGTATTGTAACACTGATATATCAGGCTCA